TAAATAACACATTGAGTTAAGACATCATTCCTTTTTCTTCAGTCGGAGGGTAAATGCACAGCAGAAATATTACAAGCGGTGTAGTAAACAAGAACACAAGTGAGAACAATCGAATGTAGTTGAACACAAAATTACAGAACATCTTAGTAAAATCTGAGAACCAGACAGTGAATACTTCATTTGCAAAATGTTAAACAATTGTCTCAAACTTGACTCATTCTTTTGCAAATATCGGTCAATCGTCTCAGACTTCATTGTTCTTTTGTTTATACACCAAACATTCTTCGTTCTCATGTTTTTTCCTTGATCATCTTAACCTTCTGCCTTTAGGCATTTCACTTTCGATTGATGATACATACTACTTATATCTGTCAATATCAGTAACACACACCACAGTAATACTTACTGAATAAGTAAAATGAACTACTTGAATCAACAACAAAAAACTAATACGTCACTAAGAAAAATATGGATAATTAAACAAAATTTTCATTACAATAATATCATAAACTAACAGTATTCAAACTGATTTATAATTAGATAACGTATAGTAGTTTATGCAACGAAATAGACGTGTGTTGCGTCAATGAAAAATAATGAAAGTTAAGGACAATATGCACATTCTATCATTGAGAATTATTCTCTTCATTTTTTGGAATTTTATCATATTTACCCGTCACAATATAAATAAAATAACATAAAGGCTGACTAAATTTCCTTATAGCATATCACATATTATTCTGTTTTAACGCTTGAAAACAATGTTAACCAGCCTTCATAAAACTATGGATAATTATTTTCCGCTTCTTTACATTGTATTTACGTAATACTATAAGTATTGGTTATCGTGAAGCACTTTAACGTTGAAAAAGTGGTTAAAAGTGAGTTACACCACAATAATTCTGTTAACTGGCGTATCTTTTTTAAATAATGTAGGTAAAACGAGCATATGAAAGTTTTTCGAAACGTTTTACTTAGAGCAAATATACCTGTCTGCCGTTTCGATGTACTTTAGTTTAAAAAGCAAGTTTCATGGTTTGATTCACGCCTACTTAAACTAGATTTGATATGAATTAGCTTACAAAAATCAACAACTCTAATGAGTGTTTCATTAAGTCATCATTAAAAAATATTCTCGAAATTCTAATTGAAATTTCTCTATAAACTTAATTTAGTTCTAGGAAAACATGATATTATTAAACTGATATTATAATTGAAATTACCTGATCATGTCATACTAAGTTTCATTGTGGAGAGAATAATCCGATAAAACTAGAAGGTAACAAAATCTCTAAAGAAATATAACACAATCAGGTTTAAATTGAGAGGTATGGAATGTTGAAGAAGATAAATAAAACCTCAAGAATATTATCGCACAGTTATGTTTAGCGTAAGAATGGGTCTAATGTTTCTGCTGTATAAAGTAAATCTAAACGCTTGATGATTGAAATCGACAAAGATCATGCCAGCCAACCTCTTTCAGTCGATACGATAAATACTGCATAAATCTTAAAAAACCATTTAAATAAGACGGATCATAACTAATATTCTTACGTTTGTATACCTAAATATTTTGTCAATTATTCATTATTTTCAAAATTGAATTCACAAGTCGATCTATGCTGGACCACCATTGAAAACCTGCAAGCACTGAATGGCCGTTTCGTTCACGGTCCCACACGCGAACGCTTAACCTCTAGACCACTGAGCCGGTATCCAACAGTGTTAATATCTAGCTTCACTCTATCCGTGCTCGTGCTCAACTCTTCATCCATTGTCTGAGGTAGATACCTGTTTCATATTCGACACAGATTAAGCCGCACTGGTCACAGCTTCTCACTAGAATTCCAGGAAACGATTATTCTTGTTTACTCAATCGTTGTTCGAACAGTTGAATTTAAAAAGAAAACATTTTCAGTGCATAAGCTTTAGTTTTGTTGATCGATATGAAATAAGATACAAATGGTTTGTCAAATATCACAATCAACATTCTTATTTGTTTACAAAAACAATTAAGATAACACGAAAAAATGTTTCCTTAGATTGTTTCTAACTTATTTTTTAGAAAAAAACTAGTTTAGAAGAAGTTAACTTTTGTATGAAAACGTAGCAAGCTATTCCAATGATTAAAAAAATAAGAATTATTTACTAGTTTGATTGATTAAATTAAATACTTTGTAGAGAGTGACCCCTGTTTACATAACACAGACAATTTTAACAACGGATTGAAGAAACCAATTGAAGAAGAAATAAATGAAAATAAAATCTATTTGAAACAAAGAAAGTAGTAACGTTTCTATTTAGAACTTGTTACGTGTCAAAAATGAAATAAGCCTGAGAATTATTTAAGCACCCGATCAGTATCACAGCCCTCACACAAACCAAACGAGATTTATGTGGCGCATATATATCCGGCGCCCCCTTGTGTTTATATGAAATAAATAAATAAGTGTAAGCATCACATTAAATACCACTAGATTTCATCTTTGTTTGACGACCACCATCTAACTCACATTATTCATTTGAAATGGTACTAACCTATACATAAGGTATTTAGATTATTAGTAGGACTTCTAATGACTCAGCAGTTACGCGAATACTAAACTCCAACAATTAGTTATTAACAGTATGGAAAATCACAAATCACAAGAGTGAAATACTCGCATATTCTTGATTTTTGCAACCTACTTAAAGATTTATTTCATGTTATTCAGCATCATTACGGCTGTTCCTAAATAAAGACATGGATTTTATATTGCGAAACGTAATGAGATGTTAGTACCTTTCTTGTTCTTAATGCTACTCACAAGCAGGATTAAAGATCAGGGTATTTAAAAACCTGGATTACCCAAAAGAATTTGACGCCTTTTGCAGATTTAATTGATGCTAGCATGCATTTAAGCCCATATAATGTCGATGTAAATCTGATGCAACAAAATTTAATTTCTACTAATGATTATAATTACATTCATGGTACAAAAGCTGTTTTATATCAGTATAACTGTCTAGCTATAAATTAATCTATATAAAAACTTACTTGAATTAAGCTTATTAAAATGCAATAACATCTTAAAAATAGATAATGAAATGTTTTCAGTTGTTTACTTTAGTCAATAAGACCAATGCCTTATTATAAGCGAAATGGTTAAGATTTAGCATTATGATAGTTATGGTTGTTGGGAATCTCAACAAAGCGGAATTATACTCTTCATTGATCAGTTGTATATTTATTTCATGTCATTTATCTAGTAATTAAAGCCCAATAGGATTAATCTTATTATTTTAACCTCTAAGATTTACATACTTTGTAAAATGCTTGATATAATATCTAAGTTCTAATGTCATTATTCATGTGGCGTATTTGCTTTTGCATGTACTTGTAAATGACATGTGATAGACAATTATAAGTTTGTTAAATTTCAGAAAACCACTTGTGAGATGATAGCTCATGGCTACTATGCTACATGACTCAACCTCCCATTGATCTGTAGTTGGTATGCATTGTTCAAAGATAAATACTGAAAAGCTTTGACAGTAAAATATGTTTTTCTTCATCTCATGAACAAAACTATCTTCCGAGTACTTGGAAATGATAGCTTTTCAAAAGAAATAGCTATTTATTAGTGTTCATGAAGTACAATAACATCAGTAGAATGCAAATTGTATAATTAATTAGGTAAAAAATCGATTTCTATGTTGTCTTAAAATAATAAACACTGAAACACATAAACTTTGGTATACGTAAATACTTTTATTACCACATATGTATTTGTTTATCTATACATGAATTCTAAATGTAAAAACTTTATAACTTCTATTTATTTCGTATTGTAAAGTTCCCTCTCTTCTGGTTTACTACCGTATTTTTTTATACCTAGTTAAGAAATATAAAAATTAGTTCAGACTAAAATTTGGACAGGATGGTATTAATGAATTTTAATAGCTTAGAATGATTCAATCATGAAATATATTTTATAACTAAGTCAGTCGGTCAGTCAGTTACAATGTAGGATCAGGTACATATATGCATCGATCCAAGTTGTCACACCTCATTGGCACAACAAGATGAACACTAAATTTATAGAAGTAGTTACTTCAATGGTAGTAATATATAAAAGAAAGATTACGTATAAGGATATAATACGGGAAGAAGGAATTAGTTCGTAGAAATAAAAGTATATAGCAATTTTAATCTCACGGTTTATGGGAAGAAAGAGTGTATAGACCTACGCCATTGTGATCGATTCCAAGCCATGTCACTCAGAGTCTCTAATCACTCCTTACGATAGTCGCGCGGACCCCCAACCAAATAGTCTACATCTACCAACATGGCTAAGACTAGAAGTTAGTGAATAAAATATATATACATTTTGTAAAATATATTTTGAAATGAAATCCATCCAATATGGATTGTATAGTATAATTGTTACTCTAAGTAGTATTTTGTTTCTTTCTAAACACTAAATGGTATCTGTTTAATCAATTAAAAGTTTATTGCTATCACAAATAATTCTTAAAGTTATGATCAATTAAAAATTGGGAAATTTTATAAAATCGGTCAGATCATTTTTATTTAGCTGATGTTGTATTTGCTTAGCTGGACTGTTGAATTGCATAGCATCCATCATTCTTTCTAGATAACATAGTCAATACACTAATACATCAGATTTTCAACTAATGACAACATCTTTTAGAAAGATAAATACATTCATAAATTTCATCGCGTATCGTGCAGATGTTAAGTATTAGGTAAAGTATGCTGTTGATGTAAATTTACCCAGAAGTAATTACATACAAGTCATGTATCAGTAATAAGAATAATGTTCTTAATGTTTTCAGTTATCTAGTGTCTAATTTTAGAACTTCAATTTTGTAGTTAGCTTGATAATATTACATACTCAAAGTATATTTAGACAATATGAATGAATTCACTTATATATATATAACTGTGTTAACTAATGCTTTTAACTTTCACAATAATGTTTATTCAATTTCTTTAGGACAATACGATCTTCAAATAATGAATGTAGAATTATCAGATGAAGGTTCATATGTATGTCAAGTGAATTTTATGCGACAACAATATCTAAGTCAAACAGCTGTTTTAACAGTACAAGGTAAGTGAATGGATTAATTTTCATCATTAACTATTAATGTATTTTTTTTATTCCGAATTTCTTTTTGATGGATACATTTCAGAATCTCTTTTGTTTCCAATCAACTTATAAATAATGACTTGCAAGAATCTCGCTGAAATCTAATGTAATGTCTATAAACTTAACGAATATTAAATTCACTTAGTATTATTTGTTTGAATCTTCCCATTGATGTTTAGGACTGCAACTGATCAGTCTCTTATTGGCATATGTGCATACTGTGTGTATCTCCTCGATATTGCCTTAATTCATAAGCATTATATGAGCAAAGATGGATAGTGGCTAGCAGTGAAATCCAGGATCATTTTACCTACAACTTGATACAAGTGTGTTGTTATTTTCTTTTGAAAAATAAATTTCAATTACAGATAACTACTTGTCTATGTCTAACTCATTTACCATAAATGTTACTGACATGAAGTTTCCTTATTCATCTGTATATTAAAAGTGAAACGTTTTTTTGTTATTGACAATTCACTTCATGAATAATTCATTTTGAAATCTTCAAATCCGACTTTCATTCTAATGTTTACGTAAATAAACCGATTTATGATTGTGAGACTGTTTATAACTTGAAATACTAATATAAGTTCAATTAGAAAATTATTCTTTGCAATCATCGAGATCAATGTGTTTGTTGTCTGAAAACAGTCGATAAAAAACAATGAAATAGGTTGTTAAGTTTTGTAACACTGACAAGTACAGCACTGGACTGTTTGTTTAGCAAACTTTGATTTAAAATCAAAAACATGATATATCCGTAAGTAAAACTTGATAGCAAACCGAATGACATATTTAGGTTCCATGTTAAACATCCAATTTTGTTTGTCATATTTTTGATTACTATCCAGAAATATCTTCCATCCAAATATCTGAAATGAGATATATTCTTTTAGAAAGTTTTTTTCACGCAATAGCTATTTACCGTACAGAAACACGAACCTTCTGTTTAAGATTTAGTTTTCATTACCTTTCACCAACTCTAAAACAATGGAAATGGATGTTGGACTTTATTTTGTAACAGGAAAGAGTTGTAAATTCTGATGTTGCTTGTTATAAAACCTTTCGGTCTAGTGAATATAAAACTGTCTAACTATAAATAATATTAAGTTTAAGACTATATTAGTGAACTTCTGCTTCATGATTTTTATTTATATGTAAATATTCCTAAAGGCAAAAAGCACTAACGGAATTAAATAATTTATTAGTTGAATCCATGAGTCAATTAAAGTTAGAACACCATAGAAAACCTAGAATCACTGGACTGCCGATTTGTCACAGTATGGGACTTTCCAGCAGCATGCATCCACGATTACGTTCGCGGGATTCGAACCTAAGACCTTAGGTCTCGCGCGCGAATGCTCAACCTCTAGACAACCGAGCCGGCATCTAATATTGCAAATGTCTAACTTCAATCAACCTACGATATTGTGTGACCGTCCACCATTGTCTTCAGTGTGTGTGACTGCTCCACAATAGACACGGTTGAACTCGGTTGCACACTAGAACTCCAAGAAATACCTCTTAAAACCAGTCACTGATGAGCACATGATGATTATTATCAGAAAGGAGTTTTGTTGAAATTGTAACAATTTAATAGTTGGATTTCAAGTTTTCTATGGTGATGTAGCTTTAATCAACTCATTAATTAAACTACTAAATTACTACAATTTCAACAAAACCCGCTTTCTGTTAAGGTAAATAATTTTATATGTAATAAATGTTTATCATCAATACTCACCAAATTCAATTTCAGTTCTAGGATATTTGAAAAAGATAATTAATTTGACCTGGAAATATTTCATTTATAGGTAACTTGTCAATATATGACAACCATTAAATCAACAAAATCATTTCTAACATAAAAATTGACAGAATTTCCCTATACATTCTTATGTTGTTGTTTTTTAATAAAAACATTTTTTTTGGTAAATTCTTTTTCCATGTAACATTTAACCAAATAATTGTTTTAATGCAATCAAGCATGTATTATTGTTTGTTTGTTTGTTTTTAATTTTTGTATCGGTGTCAAAATTTAAATCGAATGTAATAGGTTATTTCACAATTTAAAAAAAAGTGAAGGTCAATAAACATTCCTTTGACATTAAACATTTTTGTAGTCTTAATGAATGTTGTATTTACATTAGTAAATATTTCATGAACATAGAAATGCCCGATTTCAGAGTGGATTAGTTGATTTAAAGAAAAAAAAACAAATACAACGGAATTACAATTCCATTCAATTCGTTTTCATTTTTAAAAGGAATATTAGGATCTGGTAATAAGTAACAAATGATCATTTATAAATAAACTCAAAAATTATCAATTATTTACAAATGATGATCATAAACATAATAATCCATCCTTCATTACAAGCAAAGATGGATAGTGGCTAGCAGTGGAATCCAGGACGCGCGTTTCGTTATATTTGGGACTCGTCAGATGGATGTACCTGCATCTCAGAGTTGACGTTCCCTCTGAGACTCGAACCCAGTACCTTTCGCTTGAAACGCCATCGCGTTATCCACTCAGCTACTGGGTTCGAGTCCTAGAGTGAACATCAACTCTGAGATGCAGGTACATTCAGCTGACGAGTCCCAAATATGACGAAGTGGCTGGCTTCCTGGATTCCACTGCTAGCCACTATCCATTTTTTCTTATAATGCTTGTGAATTAACGCTATTTCGAGGCAATACGCACAGTATGCACATATGCCAATAAGAGACTGACCAGTTGCAGTCCTAACACATCATTGAGAAAATTCAATCAATGCTAAATGAATTTAATCCTTCATTAACTCTAAAATTATCACATATTTTATCTTATCTGTCTTTGAACTCCACTTAACTATTACACTACCCACCTTTTATGCATCCTTGATTTTAATACCTAATAATAATAATGATATTAATATATATATATATATATACATATAGTTATCATTGATAACCTTTTGTCATTCCAATCCTTTACATTCAATTATGTCAATTGTTCCACACTATTTATTGTCCCAATGCTAAAACTCTAATACATATTTGGTTGTAAGCAGCTGATGAGAAACTACGAAATATAATGAATTCATATTATTCTGCATCATTATTTGTTCTGTCTTTATTTAAATTCATGAAATCAATGTAATGTTTTTAACCAACTTTCATCTTTAGTATATTACTAAGCAACAAATGGAACGCTAATTTAGTACTAAGTCAAAACTACGATATGATCAAAATGACTGAAAAAAATGAGTTAAGTGGAGTTCAAAGACAGATAAGATAAAATATGTGATAATTTTAGAGTTAATGAAGGATTAAATTCATTTAGCATTGATTGAATTTTCTCAATGATGTGTTAGGACTGCAACTGGTCAGTCTCTAATTGGCATATGTGCATACTGTGCGTATTGCCTCGATATACCTTAATTCACAAGCATGGTTAGCAGAGATGGATAGGAAGATTCAAACAAACAATACTAAGTTGAATTTAAACTTCACCCCATCGCACAAGCAAGTGGCTATCAGGACTCAGTGGCCGAGTGGATAACGCGATGACGTTTGAAGCGAGGGTACTGGGTTCGAATCCCAGAGTGAACATCAACTCTGAGATGCAGGTGCATCCAGCTGACGAGTCTCAAATAGGACGAAACGCGCGTCCTGGATTCCACTGCTAGCCACTAACCATCTCTGCTAACCATGAGTGTAACGTCTAGTTCAACTAATTTATTATTTCTGAATTAAAATAAATCTACCTTGATGTATGGTGTTGCGTAAATTAATAAAACAAACTAACTATGACATTTGATCGTTGAATATTTACTTATTATGAATTTGTTTCAATCCAGTAATCCTTTTTAAATGTTATTCAATATTGAATACATTGCTAATCTTGTTATCTTAACTAAGTTATTTCGTTTACCTACCCACATTATTTACTATAACTAAGGCATTATCTTTCTTTTTGATATGTAAAAGAGAACAGCAATACAAATATTATATTTTGTGCTTGAATCAGTTAGTGAAATGATCCATCTATGAGAAAATCTCTCTATTTTGCTATAACTAAACTAGATTTGTTTATCAAAAGCAGATTACTTAACATATTGTACATTGATGAAGCCGACAAAGTAAATGAAGAAGGCCAGTAAAATATTCATGGATAAAATGGCTGTTTATATTATTTTTTTAAAGTGATGACAGAGGCAAACGTTTTCTTTCAACATTTATGCACGTATACTTGTACCTATCGTAAAAATATAATTAAAAAAATACGTTTAAATACCGTAGAATGTGATACATTTAACAGGACGCTTGAGTTTTCGTATTATTTTAATGTATTCACACTGTGTTTTAGTAAACTAACGTTATTAATAATAGCGGAAAATTCATTCATAAGAATTATTTATGGCGGTAGGTCATTTATCTTTCTAGTCGGCCAGTTTAACAATACAATTCTTTCATTTCTACAAACTGAAACGTTGAAATGTGTTAAATATAACTTATATACATAAATAAACTGACATTTGAACAGACAAAATTCCTGTCCTTCATATTAATAATGTGGATAATGAAAGAAAGTAGATGGTAATTTTAAAACAAAAATACAGTGAAAAAAAGTTATTTAGTAAACTGGCTTGATTTGGATGATAAACCAGATGACGTACAGAACGAATGAATATTTTAATTTCTAGAAATCATGTATTCTTATCTTTCATCATTGGTTATCACAAAATAGTTACTATAGGAATACAGAATCCCAATTCGAACTCTTTTAGCAACTTTAACAAAATTGAATAAAAGGAAAAATTCCTTACAGTTAGTTTTATTTAACAGTATGTTTATTAATGTTGAATTTAGTATGTGGTTTGGTTATAACTTGACAAATATCAAGACTTTATTCTTATTGAAATGAGTTTAGAACCTGTTGATTCTTAATCAGCTAAGGTGATCCTAGATGTAATCGACAAA